AGAACCAGACTGAAAGACTCATTCGCTTGTGAATCGGATCACACTGGTTGCACTGTATGATTTTGATTCACTAAAAAGAAAGGACTCAAAAAATCATTAATTCAGGAATCAGACTTCACTGATTGTGCTGTGTTTCACGTTGAATTTTATCAAGGTATGACAGCAGTGTGACATGTTTGAAAGCCATTTTTGATAATTAAGTTGTGGGATCTCAGCCATTGACTACTTTATGGTAATTGAGTCCTCTAGAGAAGCTCACTTGAAACTTTACCAAAGTGACCTCTTCCCATGTCTGCAGTAAATCAACAGGGGACTTTATTTGTGTGCAAACAGCTTAGTCTGCTAAGAATTTCAATCATTTTAGGCAAGCTTATCATAACCAGCTCATTTCTTTTCCCAATACACAACTGCTGATCTGTAAGCAGCTGCAAATATGGGGATTTATATAACAATTTTACTAAGCTATTAGGGATAAAGAGCTGGCATGTGGATTAGCCACTTAAAACCTTTTACTTACTGAACCTTGTTGTCAGGAAGGATACACAATAATAACATCTGCCCACAGACAGCGCAATTCAAAACTTGCACTATTTGTAGATGGCGAGGAAAGAAAAAAACAGGTAATCCTTCACTCCCAGCAGCCGTATAAATAGACCGAAGTTTGTTCACAGGGAGGCGTGCTGTTAGCAGGGGCACAGTTGTTTTCCAGTTAGCGTCACTACACTCCCCTATCACTGGCCTCGCTCTGCCTGTACCATAGTTTCAGATGCCAAATAGGGCACCATAACCTCAATACACAGAGAGGAAACAGGTTTACTCGACGCAGAGCTGAGCAGCAAATGCAAAAAAGGTCAATAGTCTGATTGTCAAAGTAATGACCTTTAACCTTCCTGCATATATGACATATTTAAAAGTGCTTAAGGTGAATGTTTAAGTTTCAGCACTTTGTGAGAGACTGTTTTCAGGACTATAAATACAGTGGAATGTTTGTCAGCCAGATGGTTGGGCAGCAAAACGTCTGACAAGTTCACAGTGAAGGTGACCTTTTGTACTGTATTTAAAATAAAGCTATAAATTTTTTAACTCAAGCAGCAAATGTAGTTAATAACAGTATGTTAGAAGTAAATGAAACTCTCGTGAGAACAAAATTAATTTTCAGTCACCTCAGGCAATGGACAAAATGTAACTAAACTCTTTAAAATAAAGGTTCCAAAAGGTGGATTTGTAGCAATGCAATAGAAGAACCAGTTTGGGTTCTCGCAAGAATCTTTCTTACTTAAAGGAATAGTTCACCCAAAAATTTTTATTTGTTGAAAGTGTACTCACCCTCAGGCCATCCAAGATGTACACGAGTTTGTTTATTCATCAGAACAGATTTGGAGAAATGTAGCATTATGTTACTTGATCATCAAGTCAATGGGTGCCGTCAGAATGAGAGTCCAAACAGATAAAAGCATCACAATAATCCACAAGTAATCCACACAGCTCCAGTCCATCAATTAAAGTCTTGTGAAGTGAAAAGCTGCATGTTTGTAAGAAACTAATCCATCATTAAGGCATTTTAACTTTAAACTTTTGCTACTTGCCAAAAACAAATCCATAATAATGCTTCCTCCAGAGAAAAGGAGGAAGGTTGCATCAAAATACACTGACTTGATCTGTGCATATTTATTTCCATATTTAGACAAGATGACTTTTTCACTGGAGAAAGCAATATTATTGATAGAGGTCATAATCGGGACGCAACGGTTTGAAGTTAAAATGTATTAATGATGGATTTGTTTTTTACAAACATGGAGCTTTTCACCTCACAAGGTGTTAATTGATGGACTGGAGTCGTGTGGATTACTTGTGGTTTATTGTGTTGTTTTTAATCAGCTGTTTGAGCTCTCATTCTGACGGCACCCATTCACTACAATGGATCCGATGTGGAATGAAAGCGTTCCATGGATGTTAAAAGTTCTTCATGGAACCAATAAGGAACCTTTATTTTTAAAAGTGTACTATTGTTAATGCAAATGTTTTGTATTGGTTTTCAGCGTTGCAAGATGCTATTAAAAATATAACATGTTTTTCAGGTCGGAAGCGAAAATGGTTCAAAATCGACGAGGCGATCCGAGTGCTACAATGCCACAAACCTGTCCATGCGGAGTATCTCCGCAAACTCACTCCTCGCTGCGGCCCCACGAACGGCAATGCTCAGGAGCCGGCGAACACAGACGACAATGCCCCCCTCCGCCAGACAGCCCCACATGACTGTGGACTACCCCGTTTGCACAGATAGAACTGTCACCAGAGGGCATCGATGCAAGGGAAACTATGCTTGGACTGGAAAAGACAGTTTTGCATGTATAATTTCAATGTTTACTATTTGAACCTCTTTTTTTAAGTGTAGAAACCAAAGGCTCGTTGTGAAATGCCTGCAAGTTTCTGGGTCAAAATGAACAAGGAGAGTTATTTTCATAACTTTTCATTTGTAAATGTGCATTTCAGGCTAAACAAGGTGAAGTTATTTGAAGATTGTGATGTTAAGTATTAAGCACAGATTAACGGAGATGCTTGCCATGATGGACATTTTGGAAATATTATTTTACAGATGGCTTTAGGTGGAGGAACACAATGAGGGATGTGCCAAGGTTTGAATTGTTTTTTTAGAACGGATAACTAGGATGGTCTTTTGAAATGCTGTCTATTTATATCTAATAGATAACTAGGCATATTTGTTAGACATTGGGTATATACAAATTCTTGATAAAGAACCAAATAAGAAGAAAAAAAGTCAAATCATGAATTATAGAATATGTAAATAGTCTAAAAGAAGATTTGGGCTGCTTTTGATTATATTAGATGCCTTCATCACAGATATCTACCTGTAATATAGGTTTAACATGCTGTGAAGTTGAAGGTATTTTCAAAGTTTGGTCTTAAATGTGAATTTGCCACATTAAACGGCGCAATTTGTTTGCCCTTCTTTCTTTTTGCACATAAATGTTTAATTTTCCATCTCCTGTAAGGCAGAGGAACTACTTTTGAGCCACTGTCTCTTTAATTTGGTAAAATGTGAAGACAGAAAAAAATATGCTCCCGGTGTCATTGGTCCATGAAAGACTATGGAATGCTATGCGGTTTGTATTGCCTGAAGTGATATTCTGAATATTTCAGAAAAAGAGAAGGCAAAACGCCCAATGTTAACCCTAATCTATCTTGTCAAACCAGTGTTTTCTAAAGGCCACAGAAATGCAATATACATGTACTGTCATCATATTAATAATTCTCACATCAATAACTCAAATAGCTGAGGAGGAATTTTATTTAATTTTGCATACGACTTTGTTCAACTGGGGCCTTTGCAATCTTCCATAATGAACTTTATGTGGAATTCACTGAATGGGATGTGAATATGTTGCCAAACTGTTTTATTAAGACTGTAAATGTCTTTATATCTTTATATCTGTAATAGACTGTAATATCTTTCCTCAGAGGGAAGATTGCATGTTAGGTTGTAAATATGTTTTAATATTAAATATGTCAGCTTCTGCCTAAATAGTTTGTCCCACAGTTTGTTTTAGACAGGATTAAAGAATTGCACTGCTAAACACAGGCACCTCAGCTCTTTACGTGTTTATCAGTTAGGCTTATTGAACACTGTTTAATATGTAAAAGATTACGGTGTTAAAATATGCCCTATGTGATTGAACAGAAATGACACAAATGCGTTTAGCCTATCTTAGGAAAATCAGAAACACCCTGACAACTTTTTAACAAAATAAACTCATCTCTGTGTTAAAGTTGGAATGATCTCTGTAAATGGTGCCGATTGGGGTTAGGCTAGGGGTGGAATGATAGCTCAACTCCCTGAGGTAACCACCAGATGGGTTGTTAAATGTGATTTATGATCACTTTTCGGGAATGTAATGATGAATGATAAACATGGTTGAAAGAGGGATTCGGCAGCATAGGATAACCTATTATCAGAAAACATCCTTAAAAACGTTCCAAAGAAAAGGTATGAACTTTCTTGGAAAGTCATGTGGCAAGTCCTCTCCTGGAGGCATATACAAGTATGAGTTTATTATGAGGCTGCAAACATGTAAGTATGTTTGTCTTCTGTTCAAAAGCCACAGGATATTTTTCTATTTTTTGTTTTCCAAATGTAAACATCTTTATCCTTACTTTAAATCTGCTGGGGGAAAAAACATTAAACCAGACTAAGATGGTCGGGTGTTCTTAGCTGATCTCCCATCTTCCCTGAGTCGAGAAATTTAAAAATGTAAAACTAATGCATTTTCTCCATCATATATCTGTCTAAAACGTTTTTAAGGGTCTCGAGATTGATGATACCTCTCTAGTCGGGTAAAAGTGCTTGAAATGGTTTGGGAACCCCTATCAAAATGCATCAACAGAGCAGCATATTTTTTGTATACATCAGTATACAAACATATACAAATATCTAAATAAAATGGAGTCAGACGACCCATAATCTCAAACAACTTGTATACCGGTTGAACTATTAGGTGGTAGGTCATTAGGTGAACTATTTAACTATTTCTGCACCTAAAAAAATGTTATTTTAAGTCATTCGAAATGCTTCATGGGATGATAGTTCATGGCCTAATACCTTACATCGGGTAATCCGGTTTTCAAATATATGTTTGCTTTAAAATAATATTTGTAATGTTTTAAACAATTTCTGAGCTCGATGGCTTTGTTTAAGATATTGAACATTTTACTGTGGATTTTTTTTTTTATCTTGAGTGAAAAAAAATGAATGGGAAAATACTTCCGGAATCAAGGGCACTGAAAAAGTGGGCGGCCACTGTTGGGCTCCATTCCGACAAGTCCCGCCTTTGACCTAATCTCTCGTTCTAATGATTGGTGGACGCTCCTTACAGACAGCCTACGATTGGGCATCTTAGAAGCCCCTCATGCAAGCCGTCCAATCATGGCAAACAATGATTCGGTGAAGGGCGGGACTTATCGGAAAACGGGTGGGTTTGTACAGAAGCACAGCAGCAGTGTGTGTCTGCAGGTGTCAACAACAAAATATTAAAACACACCCTCATTAGCACAACACTTTTAAGATTTTCCTAGTTCTAGCCAGAGAAAGGACCAAAATGTTAAGAAGAATATTACAGATGGTGAGTGAAATCCTCACAGACACTCGTTCAGTTGCATGTGATTTGTAGCTCGTCGGGCCTGACACTGAATGATGGCCTTGTGCAAGATTGATTAAAAATGACTTTTCGCTTGTGGTTTCTTGAGGACAGTCTCAAAGCGCGAGTGAAGAAGACCTGTTTTGTTCTTGAGGAACAGTAAAGATCCTGATAATGTCATTCTGCGTAAATGTTGACATGGAGACTGAGCTGTTAGCTTGTTAGCGGGCTACATAGCTTTGCACAATTACTTATTAATAAGTCGTTTTATGATTAACAACAAGCAACGACAAGGTGTCAACTTTGTTCATTTTGTCCAGAAGATGTGTTCTGTTGAAATAGCTGGTGTGTATGTATTTTGCAGTGATCTGTGACTCACACTAGATGATGTCTCCATTAATTGAAACGTCTGATGTGTCGGATCCTCTTGCTATAGTCATACAGCCTTCCCTTTTTAAAGCAGCAGCTGACAGCCCAGGAAGCCATCATTTCAGAATCAGAATCAGAATGAGAATCATTAGTATTAGTATTTCTGCTTAATATTCCTGTAAGCTCTGATCTGAATGATTGTCAGTTGTCATGCATGGAAGGTGATTAGCAGCAGCTGACAGCCCAGGAAGCCATCATTTCAGAATCAGAATCAGAATCAGAATGAGAATCATTAGTATTAGTATTTCTGCTTAATATTCCTGTAAGCTCTGATCTGAATGATTGTCAGTTGTCATGCATGGAAGGTGATGTGCAGTTATGTCCATTCAGCAGTTCATTGAATCATTGAATGTTTATCTTCTGGTTCTACCATAACAAGAAAAACGTGTTCAATTATGTCATGTAACATTAGCTAAAAGGTTTACAATAGCTTTTTGGTCCAGCACCAGGCAACGTAACATTTTGTGCAATCCAACATGGTAATGTAACTGTTATTTATTTTTTAATTGGACAAATGATAAAAAATAAAAGCATGTGCTGTGGTGTGGTGTGTATAAACAACAGTGTTTTAATGTTTTTGAAAAAGGTCTCTTATGCTGCATTTATTTGATAAAAAAAATATAGAAATATTATTAGAATTTTAAATAACTTTTCTATTCAGTATTTTTAAAATGTAATTTATTCTTGTGATGTCAGAGCTGAATTTTGGTGCTCAAGAAAAAAAAAATTATTATTATCACCAATGTTGTTAAAAGTTGTGCTGCTTAATATTTTCTGGAAACACATGCATGGAAGGTGATTTGCAGTTATGTCCATTCAGCAGTTCATTGAATCATTGAATGTTTATCTTCTGGTTCTACCATAACAAGAAAAACGTGTTCAATTATGTCATGTAACATTAGCTAAAAGGTTTACAATAGCTTTTTGGTCCAGCACCAGGCAACGTAACATTTTGTGCAATCCAACATGGTAATGTAACTGTTATTTATTTTTTAATTGGACAAATGATAAAAAATAAAAGCATGTGCTGTGGTGTGGTGTGTATAAACAACAGTGTTTTAATGTTTTTGAAAAAGGTCTCTTATGCTGCATTTATTTGATTAAAAAAATACAGAAATATTATTAGAATTTTAAATAACTTTTCTATTCAGTCATTTTAAAATGTAATTTATTCTTGTGATGTCAGAGCTGAATTTTGGTGCTCAAGAAAAAAAAAAATTATTATTATCACCAATGTTGTTAAAAGTTGTGCTGCTTAATATTTTCTGGAAACAATATATATATATATTAGTATTATTTGATGCAGTTAAATAGAAATCTCTTGTAACAGTATCAATGTCTTTGTCAATTTTGATCAATTTAATGCAGCCTTGCAATCCTGAAAGTATTAACAAACTTATATAGTGTATTTTATTTTTATTGCAAAATATATATTTTAAACACTGTATTTTATCATATAAGTATTTATACAACTAAGATCTTAGTATATTTGCTGCACTGCTTTTATTTTTTGCCAGGTTTTCATGAGATTCACGGTCACCCAACTCCTGTCTTTAATACCAAGTCAGTCTTTGAGGTCTTAAACACAGGGAAGGCTGCATATTTGGACTTTGTATCATAGAAGAATGATTTTTTGAATCAGGCCAATGTTATGTTGTGAGGTGTCAAAGTTATTCTCTTTCACAAGTGACAGGGAAGCTGAGAGTGAGATCTAACTGTGATTAAAGAGCTGTTTCCAATCACTGTGACATCTTGTGATCTGACAGTAGACACATATGAAATGTCAAGGGCATATCAATGTTAGAAAGCAGTATTGTTTAACATCATACCGCTCTCGTTGCCAAGACCGAGGGAAATGCTAAACGCCCCTCTTGCTGAGTATTTTGTTTCAGCCTGATGCATGTCCTCGCATGAATGACAGCAGTGCCGAGCACATCCCAAGAAGCGAACAAAGTGATCTTTGCTTTTACACATTGTGAATGACATGCAGTGAGCAGGCCAAACCAGCACCCAGTCTTGATCGGCTTCCCAGATACCGGATCAGCTGAGCCAGACCAGAATAGTGTGATGTAATGAGATGAATTCTACCACAGCTGACATCTTGACTCAAATTCTTCCTTTCTCTGCTTTCTCTGTCTGTATCTTTGTGGAAATAGACTCCTGGGAAAGGAGGCTCCCAGAGCTCGGAGTCTGAGCAGCCGTCTGCTGATATGAATAATGAGTCCTCAGAGGTAAGCCGAATTCAATTTATAACCCTACCATATTACTGGCTAAATGCCTCATTGCCTTAAAGTCTTTCTCTTTCTTTTTTTGAAATGATATCAGTGTGTTGTATTCAAGCCTGTTTTAGGGATAGTTCACCCAGAAATGAAAGTTCTGTCATATTTTTTTTTTTCTAAAACTGTAGTTTTTCTATTAAAATTAGAAGTTTATCAAAATGTCCGTGCTGCTCTTTTCCATAAAATGAAAGTGAATGGTGACCAGTTGCCATCAAGCTTTAGAAATGACAAAAAACACCATAAAATTAGTCTATATGAGTCAAGTCTTCTGAAGTCCTTTATGTGAGGAACAGACTGAAATTTAAGTTGTTGTCACCATTGCAGATCTCAAATCTCATTCATGTGTGTCTATATATTCACATAAGGAACACTTGCATACAAGGTTTTTATCAGATGCTTAATGATAGTGGTTATCGCGTGTCTTGTAATCAACCACAGCATGCCAAATCTGAATATGTGCATATTCAAATTCTACAAATTTAAAAAGATAGTTCACCCAAAAAAATGAAAATTCTGTCGTCATGTACTCATTCTCATGTTGTCGCAAACCCATAAGAGGTTAATCTCCGAAACACAAATTAAGAAATTTAAATGAAACATGAGAGCGGTTTCTGTCCCTCCAATGAAAGTCCAGGTAAACGAACAGGCTTTTGTGTTTACCAAATATAATTAGCTGTATGTGTGTTTATACAGTATGTGAATGAAAGTCTAAATTTAAGACTTGGACTAAACTGCTTGATTCATATGGATTTGTTTTACAGTGCCTAATTTTTGGATCCTTAAAACATTGGTTACCTGAACTTGGATGGATGGATGGACAGAAACCTTTTAGGTTTCATTAAAGATATCTTAATTTGTGTTTTAAAGACTAAGCAAAGTTTTATGGATTTGGAACAACATTAGGAAATTATGACAGAGTGTTCATTTTTTGGTGAACTATCCATTAAGATATTTTTGGTATTTTATTCCCCATTTTTGGTCACCATTTAGCTACTTTCTTTGGGACTGTTCACAAAGAAAGCACTATATAAACATGCTAGGCCAACATATTTTCCAGTGTCTTGTACATGATTCAACTTTCTAAAAATGAGGCACACACAAAGTATTTTTAGTAGTTTCTTCCGTTTTAAAAAGCAAAAATGCATTCTTGAGAATGTCTCCTTAATATAGTAAAGAGTAGCATGAACATCTCCTTTTGTGTTCATCAGAAGAAATGAGTTTGGAATAAAATGAGGGTGAATAAATAATCAAAGGATATACATTTTTGGATGAACTCTCCCTTTAACTCTCTTTTTAGTAACTGATGTACGATGATGTTAAATTATGTGTTCTTTGCTGTTTCGTAACTTCACCTGATTTCATTGTGGTGTTAATTTGTTTGTCAACAGGGCTTCATTTGTCCCCAGTGTATGAAGTCACATAACTCTGCTGAGGAGCTCTTCAAACATTATGAGGTGTTCCATGAGCCAGGAGGCCAGCCGTCCCCCTTCAGCCCTGGCAGGTGGGCTTCTGTAATATTAAACCCTTCTTGCTTCCTTTCCTGTCAGAGAAACTCAGTCACTCAGCCAGATAATCTAGCAATCTATTTCATCTTAAAGGGAACTATACTAAGACTTAAGCAATACAGAAAGAATGAAATTCATATAGTTAGTCATTAATATGAAATATATACAGTATAATAAAGGCGTGTGTTTTTCTTGTTAAGGGAGGATCTACCCCTTCTTCGTCAGGAAGTCCAAGATTTACAAGCTTCACTGAAGGTATTCTGCCTTTGACTCCCACCCTTCTTTTATCTTATCAGCCTTAGAATGCATGAAATGTGCATTACTCATAGCACCATTACTCAATAATATAATTTCCAGTGGATATGTGTATTGGGTTTAAAATTGATGATATGCAATTTTGGTGTGTGTTTTCAGGAGGAACGCTGGTTTTCTGAGGAATTGAAAAAAGAATTAGACAAAGTACAAGGACAACTAGCAACTAACAAAGTAAATCCTTTGAAATGCTTGGTTGTTCAAACAGAGATCAAAGATGAATAAAGAAAAGTTCACATTTTTCATGATGTCTATTGATTACTGAAGGAATGTTTGCTGTGTTCTCTAATTGAATTGTGGGATGTGTATTGATTTTAGGGCCCACAGAGTGATGGTACTGGTGAAAAATCAGGTTAGTTAAGTAGTGTTAATTTCATTCTTTAAAGGAATGTACTGGGTTCAATACAAGTTAAGCTCAATCAATAGCTCAGTGGCATTACGTTGATTACCAAATTAGCACAGGATATTGCAGTTTTTAAATGTATATATACTGTAACAACATTTTAATTTCTTTAAAAAAAAATGGAAGGAATATATCAAAATTGTTTGCGGTGCAAATTCTGAAAATCTTCTATTGAATCTTGTACATGCGTTTAAATGTTTTGTTTTAAAGCATAATCGTTCTTTTTGTGATTTTGCAGTCAGTATTTTTTCTTCTCAGAGCTCGAGATGAGGCTTAATGAATCTGAGACCGAGAAATTCAACATCAAACAGATGAAAGACTTGTTTGAACAGAAAGCTGCTCAGCTTGCAACTGAGATAGTTGGTAAGTTTTGCAGGAAAGTTCTTGCATTTTATATTTATGCGATCTTTAGAGAGTTCAAATGTTTGTTTCTATACTTAACATTATAAAAAAAAAGATCTGATTAAGGCCAGTTCTCTAAAAAAAAATGGAAAATAAAATAAAAAAGTCGCTTTAAATGAGCATGTGTTTCATATCCCAGACATCAAATCTCGTTATGATGAGGAGAAAAGCATGAGAGAAGCACTGGAGCAAAGGCTGGCCAATCTAAACCAAGATCTGCAGAAAGAGAAACAGGAGAAGGAGAAACTGGCAGCAGAGCTGGTAATGTCACATTTATTGTCTCGTGATAATCAATGAGTTTGCATGCATCCTCTCATCTGCTGCTGCCCATACCTCATCAACCTCTCTCGGCTTAATCCTGGCTGTCACTGGCTCTTCTCCAGCTCCAGAGGCCTGGAGTGGAAGACGTGGAGGTGTTGAAGAAAGAGCTGGTGCAGGTGCAGACGCTAATGGACAACATGACCCGTGAGAGGGAGGAGGAGTCAGAGCGCCTCAAGAGCCAATACGAACAGCTGCAGGCCAACTTCACTACCTCAGAGGTGAGCTCAAACCTGCTGTGACCTTGTCTGTACTGTATAACTAACATAAGGAGAGTTACCATGATGCTTTGCTTTATAAATAGTCGATCTCTGCTGTTTATTCGGAAAATGTATTGATAGAAGTGGACAAATATGGAGACTCATATGCCAGAATCAATAGCTCGTGAAGGCAGAGATAATGAAAGGTCATTTTGAGATAGCGACAAGCAGCTGACCTTTGAATGGGTGCAACAGTGACGTCACTTTGCCCATTGCAGTAAACCGAGATTATGAACGACTGCAAATGGCTGGTTTGGTGATTTACCCAAAAACTGTGAAGCCATTAAAACTCGCAAGCTATTTACTACTGTAAGTTCCAATCGTAATGTTGTATCCGAAAGTGTTTGCTAAACATCTAAGGGTCACACTGACTGTCCTCTCTAACAGATTCCTGAGGTTAACCATTAACTCACTGGCAGACCTCCCACCTCTGAGTGTTTCCTGTAAACATGCCTGTAATCGCCTGCACTTCTGACCTAAAAATGGCTTTTTATTATATAAGGTCCCACAAATGCAGAATAGTTCTGGTTCATAGATCATTACAAACAGGTCACTTGAGTGTATTTTTTTCAGATATTTTGGTTTGACTTTAGTTGGTTTACCTAATACAAAGGCTGCCATCTAGTGACGGTATTTGGAAATGTTAAGGTTGCTGACATCATTCTTTACATGCCTCCATAGATCCATTAGATTATAGTGTGTCTGTTTCAGGCCCTAGAGAGCTGTCTAGTTAAGCAATAATATGCAGCCTACTAACTGAGTTGTTCCTCACATTAATCACACACAAAGTGTGTGAACTACTTTATTTTGAACTAGACGTTTTCTTTCAATACTTTTTAGCACTAAACAAAATAGTCACACTACTTTTCAAAAGTCTCCTGTGCTCACCAAGGATCTGTTCATTTGATCAAAAATACAGTAAAACATATTGTGAAACATTATTGCAATTAAAAAAAATTATTATTTTTAATACATTTTATACTGTAATTTTTTCATGTGATGTTAAAACTGAATTTTTTTAACAATGTATATTTACTATTTTTATCATTAGAAGCATGCCTAAAAGTGCCTTCTAGGTAGGCAGCTCAACAGGGTTTGAAACACAGCCAGTATTTTGCCCTAAAGTACTTGTCATAACCTGTAGACGCAGAGTATTGACACCTCTGTCTCTGTACTGTGTGTCCTGTCTCACCTCACTGGTTTATTGTTTGTGTGTGCTTCTCCCTCGTTCACTCTTCACATAACTCTGCACTTGCTTTGCTTGCTCTTGGAGATTCGTAAACTGGAGTTAACAATTTCTCCTCTTGAATGCCTCAGTGTCAGTTGTTTTTCATAAATCTGCCTGAATGCCCTTTTTTTCTTTAGAAATTTACTAAGTTAGATGTTGTGCAACATTGAAGTAGTCTTTCCTAATGTCTGTGTTTTATGATCTTCATGTCATCAGCTTTAGAATTTTTACCACCATAATGTAATGTTCTTTTCATTTTCATCCAATGAAAAATGTAGTATGCAATGAAATTATTCTTTTCTTGCTCTCTTGTTTTGGTCAAAGTATGATAATTTTGCACACGGCAGAGTAGATGGCAGATTAAAATTAATGTGGACATAAATGACACGGTGAAGGATGAAAGTATAGTCATAGACTTTAAGTCCTAGGTCATTCCCAGACCAACAAAGTTTCTGTGCCCACAAAACAGCAGAACATTTTCACAGAATTTGAAAGAGACCATCCAGGGCTCTACAATATGAACATTTCAGTAGCATTTTTGAGTAAAATTTTACAGTAAAATGAACAACAATACTAGGCCTACATGACTGTGCCTCTGTCCCTCACAGCTTCTGTTTTCTTCAAAAAAAAAATTATGGGCTATACTTTGACTAGACTTTTTTGCTTGTTTGTAGACAACGATTGCTCAGTTGAAGGCAGAACTGGAGAAGGGTCCTCAGGAGGCAGCGGTCTACACCCAACAAATCCACCAATTACAGAGCAGCCTCAACAACTACCAGCACCAGACCCAGGTAACACTCACATATACAAACAGATGGAGATATGTTGTGTCTAGAGTTACTGGACCACCCTAAGTAACAAGGCATGTGTTGTATGCTCACAGCAAATCCAGCTGTATATTTTAATGGCCTACTTTACAGCTTCACAGAACACACGCCAGTGCCGGCTATGTTAAGACCCACTTCCAAATATAAGTTTACTGTACCGCCGTTTACAAGCATCACCAGCTGGCTTTCAGGAAATGGCCCAACACATTTCATAGGAAGTTTCTCGGGCTGCTGGCCCTGTATGTCCAGTCCAAAGTCGCCCCATTGACCTGTCAGCACACTGTGTGTTTTGATTGGCCATTAAAAAGTGTTGACAGACACATCACAGATGCTGTGTAATTAAAGCAGCAGGGAGCAATTTGTCTCGTGCCTGTGACAGTCAGAGCGATATACAGCCACAGGTAATGACCCACAACTCTCTAGTCCATTGTTCAAGTTGTCAGGACGGGATTAGGAGATCAGACTCCAAAGGTGGGCTGGCTTCTGAAAAACGTGGACCATGGTACTGATGGGAAGTGAAACAGGAGCGATTAAGGGGTCGTTTATAGAACCATCCCTGTGAAGTGTCCTGCGGGATAAATATAAACGATAATTTAAAGTTCAAAAGGAAGATGCATGCAAGGACAGGAATAAGAAAGAGGGCAAACTAAAACTTGTTGATGATCTTGTCTCAACTAGCTTATGCTATTTTTCATTGTTAACTCCTATTGTTTCATAATACAAATTTTCTGTTAACTAAAATGTTAAAAATATATTAGTGTATGTAGATATTAATATTAATCTAGATTCACAAATATTGTAAAAGTATTATTCATTATTAGTTCATGATATTTATATATTTTTATGCATTTTAGCAGCTTTACATATTTATTTCTATATTTATTATTTATGTATTCATTATGTTCATTACATTAAATTATATAACATTATTTATTTTAAATAATTAAGACATTTTGCAGTCCCCTTGCAAGTTACCGCAAGTAGGTTTTGGTTGAGAACCACTGCTCTAAAATACTTGAGGCAGGGTGACTAGGAAAAAAAGGCATACAGCTTTAGATCAGCTTGAGTTAATGTTGACATTTTCAGTTTTGGGGGAACTATCCCTTTAAGACTCTTTCCTACATTTGAAGGACCAAACAGAAAATGGTCCAATGCAAGAGGACACTATTAACAGCAACACATGACCAAATGCAACCTTATCTACCTTGTCCGTTTTAATAGCTGTCACAGGCAAAGGTCACAGCACAATTGCCCTGCCCTGCCCTGCCCTCATTAAACTCTGCCCTCATAAGAGAGATCCCTAAGCTATCCCAGAATTCCCAGATATTTGTCAGCATACCACAACACTGTTATTTGGCATCTTATTGGATATTGGTGCTCTGTACAGTGTGCATAGGCTGGTCTGAAGAATGCATTATAATTTAATTGTTATAAGTTTTGTATGAGTGAGTTGGTCTAATTATTCTGCCACTCCTCAGCTTTTGTCACAGAAGTTATCTCGTAAGGAGAAGGAGAGTCAGGAACTCGAGGAGCGTCTGGGTCAGGAGCAGGCCTCTAAGAAGAGTATTCAGGCTAGTCTGCACCAGAAAGACCTGGAGCTCCAGGAGAGCCAAGCCCGGGTGTCATCGGGAGAGACAGCTCTGAGTCGGGTCCAGGCTGAATTGACCGAACGTGGGGAGGAGGCTGCACGACTAAGACGGGAACTCAGTGAGCTGGAGAAGAACCACCAGGAGTTGAAGGCAGAGAGGAAGCAACTTCAACAGCAGAGAGAAGATAAAGAAAACCAGGGCCTGCAGCAGCAAAGTGAGATCAGCCAGGTCAGTAAAAAATGCACAATATTATAACAACAGTCCATCCAGTTAGAATCAGAATCAATCCCATCCATCTTTTAGTTCAGAGTCAAATTCATCCACCCTTTAGTTCAGAATCAAATTCATCAGGTTAGAATAAGAATCAAATCTGACCATCCTTTACTTCAGAATCAGTTTCATCAAGTTAGAATCCGAATCAAATCTGGCCATCCTTTACTTTAGAATCAGTTTCATCAAGTTAGAATCCGAATCAAATCTGACCATCCTTTACTTCAGAATCAGTTTCATCAAGTTAGAATCCGAATCAAATCTGGCCATCCTTTACTTTAGAATCAAATTCATCAGGTTAGAATCAGAATCAAAATCTGATAAAAATATTTTCTATTTTTATTCATCCACCCTTTAGTTCAGAATCAAATTCATCAGGTTAGAACAAGAATCAAATCTGACCATCCTTTACTTCAGAATCAGTTTCATCAAGTTAGAATCAGAATCAAATCTGGCCATCCTTTAGTTCAGAATCAAATTCATCAGGTTAGAATCAGAATCAAAATCTGATAAAAATATTTTCTATTTTTATTCATCCACCCTTTAGTTCAGAATCAAATTCATCAGGTTAGAATCAGAATCAAAATCTGATAAAAATATTTTCTGAGTCAAATCCACTGATCCATTACACATTTGAACTTGTATTATAATCATGCTCTCATACTTCCATCCTCTCTAGCTGCACACGAAGCTGCTGGAAACCGAGCGTCAGTTGGGGGAGCTGCAGGGCCGGCTGAAAGAGCAGAGACAGCTGTCAGGAGACAAACTCAAAGATCGGGAGCAGCAGGTGGCAGACCTGCAGCTTAAACTCTCCCGCTTGGAGGAACAGGTAAAGACAAAAAACAGCTGATTAGTACAAATTTCAGAGCACTGCACATACAAGCTGGAAGACTTGGATCACGTGAATGCAGTAAAGCGCACTAAGAATAATTACTGCAGTAGTCAGCGTGTTAATTGATAATGTGTGTTGTTTACATGCAAAACCCAGACCAAATAATTATTACAATGATGGGCTTGAGTGTCTTGTTTTCACTTTCAACCACTGCACTTGTCTCTCTTTCTCTCTGTGACTGCATATCTGTGATTATGTGTGTGTAGTTAAAGGAGAGCTCTACCAAGTCTACTGACTTGCAGCATCAGCTGGACAAATCCAAACAGCAGTACCAAGAACTACAAACACTTCAACAGAGCACTAATGGCAAACTTAGAGAAGCACAGGTAAATATAACTGTTACATCTCATTAAGAGTTCCATCAGTGGATGTTTCTATAAAAAGCAATATTTGCTTTACCATGCAGGAAAATAAATATAGTAAAAACAAGAATATTGTAAATTATGATTACAATTTAAAGTAACTGTTTTCTATTTTAATATAGTTTAAATGTAATTTATTTCTGTGATGGCAAAGCTGTATTTTTAGCAGCCTTTATTCCAGTCTTCAGTGTCACATGATCCTTCAGAAATCATTCTAATATGCTGATTTGGTTTTCAAGAATTGTTTATCATACATGTTCCCTTGACCTATGCAGAATGACCTGGAACAGGTGTTGCGTCAGATTGGGGACAAGGACCAGAAGATCCAGAATCTTGAAGCTCTGCTGCAGAAGAGCAAGGACAGCGTGAGCCAGCTGGAGGCAGAGAGAGAAGATCTGTGTGCTAAGATCCAGGCCGGTGAAGGAGAGGCAGCTGTGCTGAACCAACTGAAAGAGAAAAATCACTCATTACAGGAACAGGTATTGGACACTGCACTAGTGTGACTGCACAATCCTACTCTTTGAACAGGGCAGATGCTCATTCTAGTTTTCCACCCATGTGTTAATTCAGATTACGCAGTTTACCGACAAGCTCAAGAACCAGTCTGAAAGCCACAAACAGGCTCAGGACAACCTTCACGAGCAGGTGCAGGAGCAGAAGACCCACCTGCGTTCAGCGCAAGACCGCTGCCAGAGCCTAGAGACCACCATCTCTGAGCTTACCACACAGTTCACAGAGAGCAAAGAGAAGATTGCCCAGCTAGACACACAGGTAGTTGTGCTGTGATTGCTCATAATTATTTCAAATAATAATTAATGCAATCGTGAAAATTATGTCTATTTCGGTCCAGTTGTTATTGTTTACTTAAAAACAATTAAAGGTGCAATAGGTGATTGTCTTCAGAAACATTTTTTGTTATGCTGGTTGAAAGTCTCTTCACATCCCGATAGCAATCATTATGTTAAGTGGTCTAAACGTATTTATCTGTATTTATATATTCTGTGGAAGGCGTAGGACCAAGAAATGTTGGTCCAATCAAAATGCTCGTTCCGAGCGTTTTGATTGACTTTCCTACCTGCCTGTCAACATATTTATTTGCATACCTCTGCGCACCCTGTTCGCGTAGACAGGATACGTCATCAGCGCGTTCACATACGCTGTGCAGACAGAGCGAGAATGGCAGGCAAACATCAACAACCTGATCTTCCTTCCTGGTATTGTAGTGCTTTTACTAACTGTACTATAAAGTTTTCTCACTGGTGAATAACACATGATGTATTGTAGTAATGTTGTCTCTGATCGTCTGATCTGTATGCGTTCAGGGGGCGTGGCTTTGGACGGCGATTTGCAGTGAGGGTGGGACATTCGCTTTCAGTGCTATCAGGCTAAAGTTAGCATTTTCCAAGATCTTCTACTGCACCTTTAAGAATAGTTTCTTAATAACAGATGAAACACATAAAAAATAATAATAAATAAATATTATATATATACAAACTAATATAACTAATAACAATGACAAAATCACAAAGCAAAATGACAAAAACTTTAACAAAAATAGAATGGAAATGGAAAATATAGAATTAAAAGACAATTCAAATATATTAATAAATAATATAGTATATTAGTGGTGTCAAATCGATTAATCACAAATAATCACATCCAAAATAAGTTTGTTTACATAATATGTGTGTGTGTACTGTTTATATTTATATATATATATATATATATATATAAATAAATAAACACATGTATATATTTAATATTTACATGTGTGTATATATATATATGTATACAGTATATATATATATATATATATATATTAGGGCTGCTCGATTATGATAAAAATCATAATCACAATTATTTTGGTCAATATTGTAATCACGCTTATTTAACACGATTATGAGTGGGCCATATGACCAAAACTTTATATGAATGATTTATTTAAAGGTATCGATATATATCAAATATATATTTTCTGTAAATAAGGATGCTATGACATCTACATTTTAGAGACCTGCGAAATGTCACAATTCTCAATACCACAGCAGAATACTAGTAACTAATATTAGTAAAAAAAAGAAATTCTCAAAATTATTGAATATAATAAAACTGTCAGTAATAAAAAAGGACAAATACATTAGAATAAAAAAAAATTATACAAAAATACAAATGAAACAAACTGTGCTTTAAGTATTCAGTTAACAGCCTACTACAGAAATGAACACAAAACCAGTCTTTAGTCGCTGGGGTATATTTGTAGCAATAGCCAAAAATATTGGTATGGGTCCAAATTATTGATTTTTCTTTTATGCCAAAAATCATTAGGACATTAAGTAAAGATCATGATCAATAAAGATATTTAGTAAATTTCTTACTGTAAATATATAAAAACTAAATTTTTGATTAGTAATATGCATTGCTAAGAACTTCATTTGGACAACTTTAAAGGCGATTTTCTCAATATTTAGATTTTTTTTGCACCCTCAGATTCCAGATTTTCAAATAGTTGTATCTCGGCCAAATATTGTCCTATCCTAACAAACCACACATCAATGGAAAGCTTATTTATTCCGCTTTGAGATGGTGTATAAATCTCAGTTTCCAAAAATGTACCCTTATGACTGGTTTTGTGGTCCAGGGTCACAAATGTAAAATAAAACAGCATAGTCTTCACTGTAAAAATGAAACTTAATGTGTTATTAAAGCTACAAAAATCCTTCAGTCAAGAGCAGTGAGTGATTTTATCTTTGTCTTTTGTTGTTTAATTTAATATTAATCACACTGTCGGCAGCAGGAATATAGCTTGCTGTCTCTTTAAGAGCCGCACAGATCCAATTTACTGTTACACATGTATTTTCATTCTCATCTCTTTAAGTTCATTTATTACATAACCGACTGGGGTTTACGTGAATAATCACTAAGTGCCGCATTTTGACACATTTTTGCGTGTATTTGACCGTTAAGTCGCGCACCTTGAGCTAAAAGATGACTTTACATGTCCGTGTTCTGTTCCGTCTCTGAGTGCATGCAGGAATAGCACAAAAAGTTCTGTTTCACGCTTTTAAAAACATGAATAAATTGAATCAACTTAAATAAATCAAGCATGTCCCATTTGGCAAAAGTCACATAACATGATTTTACTGATTTGCATGAGAAATTGGGCTTTTAAAAGGAGCGAAAGCCCACCACTGGAAAGGGGGTCGGAATGGGGCGTAATAATCGTTTTATCTCGATTATTGTATTTTCATAATCATTGGAGGCCAAAATCGAAATCGAAACTGCATTTCGATTAATTGCACAGCCCTAAAATATATAACATATATTTCTTACATATTTACATCTATGTGTGTGTATTTATAAATATATATTGTACACACACATATATATTATGTAAACATATATATATATATATATATATATATATATATATATATATGCTTTGACATAACAATAAAAACAATAGTAAAACAATTAATCAATTTATTCACCCCCATCTCATTCTAAATACAAATGAAACAAACTGTGCTTTAAGTATTCAGTTAACAGCCTACTACAGAAATGAACACAAAACCAGTCTTTAGTCGCTGGGGTATATTTGTAGCAATAGCCAAAAATATTGGTATGGGTCCAAATTATTGATTTTTCTTTTATGCCAAAAATCATTAGGACATTAAGTAAAGATCATGATCAATAAAGATATTTAGTAAATTTCTTACTGTAAATATATAAAAACTAAATTTTTGATTAGTAATATGCATTGCTAAGAACTTCATTTGGACAACTTTAAAGGCGATTTTCTCAATATTTAGATTTTTTTTGCACCCTCAGATTCCAGATTTTCAAATAGTTGTATCTCGGCCAAATATTGTCCTATCCTAACAAACCACACATCAATGGAAAGCTTATTTATTCCGCTTTGAGATGGTGTATAAATCTCAGTTTCCAAAAATGTACCCTTATGACTGGTTTTGTGGTCCAGGGTCACAAATGTAAAATAAAACAGCATAGTCTTCACTGTAAAAATGAAACTTAATGTGTTATTAAAGCTACAAAAATCCTTCAGTCAAGAGCAGTGAGTGATTTTATCTTTGTCTTTTGTTGTTTAATTATATACATGTGTGTATATATATATATGTATACAGTATATATATATATATATATATATATTAGGGCTGCTCGATTATGATAAAAATCATAATCACAATTATTTTGGTCAATATTGTAATCACGCTTATTTAACACGATTATGAGTGGGCCATATGACCAAAACTTTATATGAATGATTTATTTAAAGGTATCGATATATATCAAATATATATTTTCTGTAAATAAGGATGCTATGACATCTACATTTTAGAGACCTGCGAAATGTCACAATTCTCAATACCACAGCAGAATACTAGTAACTAATATTAGTAAAAAAAAGAAATTCTCAAAATTATTGAATATAATAAAACTGTCAGTAATAAAAAAGGACAAATACATTAGAATAAAAAAAAATTATACAAAAATACAAATGAAACAAACTGTGCTTTAAGTATTCAGTTAACAGCCTACTACAGAAATGAACACAAAACCAGTCTTTAGTCGCTGGGGTATATTTGTAGCAATAGCCAAAAATATTGGTATGGGTCCAAATTATTGATTTTTCTTTTATGCCAAAAATCATTAGGACATTAAGTAAAGATCATGATCAATAAAGATATTTAGTAAATTTCTTACTGTAAATATATAAAAACTAAATTTTTGATTAGTAATATGCATTGCTAAGAACTTCATTTGGACAACTTTAAAGGCGATTTTCTCAATATTTAGATTTTTTTTGCACCCTCAGATTCCAGATTTTCAAATAGTTGTATCTCGGCCAAATATTGTCCTATCCTAACAAACCACACATCAATGGAAAGCTTATTTATTCCGCTTTGAGATGGTGTATAAATCTCAGTTTCCAAAAATGTACCCTTATGACTGGTTTTGTGGTCCAGGGTCACAAATGTAAAATAAAACAGCATAGTCTTCACTGTAAAAATGAAACTTAATGTGTTATTAAAGCTACAAAAATCCTTCAGTCAAGAGCAGTGAGTGATTTTATCTTTGTCTTTTGTTGTTTAATTTAATATTAATCACACTGTCGGCAGCAGGAATATAGCTTGCTGTCTCTTTAAGAGCCGCACAGATCCAATTTACTGTTACACATGTATTTTCATTCTCATCTCTTTAAGTTCATTTATTACATAACCGACTGGGGTTTACGTGAATAATCACTAAGTGCCGCATTTTGACACATTTTTGCGTGTATTTGACCGTTAAGTCGCGCACCTTGAGCTAAAAGATGACTTTACATGTCCGTGTTCTGTTCCGTCTCTGAGTGCATGCAGGAATAGCACAAAAAGTTCTGTTTCACGCTTTTAAAAACATGAATAAATTGAATCAACTTAAATAAATCAAGCATGTCCCATTTGGCAAAAGTCACATAACATGATTTTACTGATTTGCATGAGAAATTGGGCTTTTAAAAGGAGCGAAAGCCCACCACTGGAAAGGGGGTCGGAATGGGGCGTAATAATCGTTTTATCTCGATTATTGTATTTTCATAATCATTGGAGGCCAAAATCGAAATCGAAACTGCATTTCGATTAATTGCACAGCCCTAAAATATATAACATATATTTCTTACATATTTACATCTATGTGTGTGTATTTATAAATATATATTGTACACACACACATATATTATGTAAACATATATATATATATATATATATATATATATATATTTTGTGATAAAAAAAAAAAAAAAATAGAAAAAAATAATATATTTACATCTATGTGTGTGTATTTATAAATATATATTGTACACACACACATATATTATGTAAACATATATATATATATATATATATATATATATATATGCTTTGACATAACAATAAAAACAATAGTAAAACAATTAATCAATTTATTCACCCCCATCTCATTCTAAACCAGTTCTCTTTCAAACAATCGCTCGGTATCTCACTATGGGAAAGCCCCCAGGCGTGATAGACTATGGAAGCACCAGCTACACCACGTCTGTCCGAAGGACGGACCAATCACAGCTCATGACAAGGAGCCCACCCCCTCCCTATATATGCAGATGTGATTCCCGAAACGGCATTCTTGTTCTCTTCCCCGTGAAGACTTCCCTTCAGCACCTAGGCTGCGCTGCTTTCAGTTCGTAGATGTACCGTCAAGGTTGACGTTGCCGAATGCAGTGTAGTCAGAGTAAAACAAAAAAGAGAAAATCTGTTGCGGATTTTCTGCTCTTTACTGAGCTTATTTGCTCCTCTGTTATTAGCGGTGTTTCCTATCCTAGCTAACATGTTTAGGGGATATTTGACTCACCATGTCATGTCCAAGGTCGCGGCGGAGAAAGGGAAGGATGCCCCTTCACGCTCATGTCCGGCAGCATGTGGATTTATGATCTCGGGCAGGGATTTGCATCCAATGTGTATCGCATGCATGGGTGTCAAGCATGTCCATGCTGCGCTGGCGGATGCGGAAAGTTGCTCCCACTGTCGTGTAATGCCGGCCAGGATTCTAGAGAGAAGGCTTCGAGTGGCGGCAACTTCCAAAGACGATTCGGTTCTCTCCGCGGTCCCTCCTTTGGCAAAGGGGGTCCAACCCTCTCCCCCACATGATCTTTCTTCGTGGGGGGATATTATGGATTTGGAGTCCCCTGAGTTTGCACTGCTTTTCGACCAGATTGCTTGCAGATGGCGATGAGGTCAAGGGAGATGAGGAGAAAGATGAAAAGATGCTAGCTCACCTCCTCCGAAAGGAGCCGGATGATGCTATCCTGTCTGCAGCCCAAGTGTCCAGGCCCGTGAGCACGCAGAGTGGCGATGTGGCGTCGAAGGTGCTGGATTGCGACCTAGTCGAGGTCTGTAAACGTGCTGCAGCTCCCGGGGATCCGGGAGTTAAACGGGATATTTATGACGGGAAAAGGCTCCCTTCCCGCCTTCCCCCGGCGAAACAACTGTTTCCTGCTGTGCCGGTGTGTATAGCAGAGATGAAGCGTTCATTGGATAAACCCTTTTCTTATCGTGTGCCCGTCAAGGGTTACTCGTGTCTTGATGTGAGTGAGATGGAGGGGCTTGGGCTCTCTAACCCTCCCACGGTCAAGCAGTCAGTGGCTCGCCACCTGCTTCCGAACAGGCGGAGCACTCTCTCATCAACCAGCCCCTCCCTCCCTGGGAAAATGTAACGCTTCACCGCTTCCGTGTACCAGAAAATGTATAAGTCGTCAGCACTAGTGGTCGACCGATATTATTTTTTTTTTGAGAGCCGATGTCAATATCTTGGAAAGCTGATATAAAGCTGATATAATTAAATTTATTTTAATTAATATTTAAGAAATTTTATATAATTTTTTTGAAAATTGATTAAAAAATAAATGAGAGAGGCGTTTGACATCTGTCTCCCACGTAAAAGAGCATCCCGTCTTCCTGTTCCCCCTCGGCCTGTTCCTCCAACGCAGAACAGGAGATTTTTGAATGCGTCCAGAACTGCAAAACCCCAGAGTGCAGAGCAGGCGACCTGCCCCCCTGCTGCTCCGAACACTAAGCCATGGGGAAAGCAGTCATTCGCGGCAGTGGCTGCAAAGTCCAGGTCCGCTAACCCTTCCAACAAAAAGAAGAGGGATTCCTTGGACACAATCTCCGCATGGGAGGGACGGGCAGCACCTATGGTTTTCTGTGATGTCCTCTCCCGAGTCCACCAAGTTTGTTCCCCCACCCGCAAAGAAGCGAAGGATGTGGAGTTTGGGCGGAGAAATGGTTCAAAATTGTGTTCAGGCCAGTTCAGCTTCCCCTCAACACACAATGTTCCGTGGATTGTTGACAGCAATTCCACAAGTTCGAGTGCGGAGAACGCAGCCAGCAAAAGAGGTATGCTGAGTTCAAGCACAAGTTCTCAAGTGTATTGTTACAAAGCACTTCAAGCCCTGGGTTCAAAGCAAATAAAAAATCCTCTGTTGCATCCAGGATCAGTGCCGAGGGCGCAGGGAGACAAAAACATAATAATATCAAAGAACCGAGAGATTCTGTCTCTGAGCCACACAGATCCTGACCGTTTTTCTCTGTCCACTAGATGGCGCCATCACTCCCATCTGGAATCGGTTCAACAGAACCGTCTGGCTCTTCATCAGGAGAAGTGGAGAGAGTGTTCTGCGCATCCGTGGGTCCTCGCGTCTGTAACCAAGGGTTTTAGGCATCAGTTCGCTATAAAACCACCTCCTTTCAACGGGGTTATAGCTTCTGTAGCAAATGGGGAATCAGCTCGGGTTATGGAAGCAGAAATACCCTCCCTCTTGAAGAAAAGAGCTATAAGACAAGTTCCAGTGGGGGAAACTCAGAGGGGCTATTACTCCCCTTATTTTCTAATTCCAAAGAAAGATGGGGGTTTGCGGCCTATACTGGACCTGCATGCTTTAAACAAGCACTTAAGGAAGTACAAATTCAGGATGCTCACAGTCTGGGCTCTCACTTGTTCAATCCGCCGGGGTGATTGATTTGCTGCGGTCGATCTCAAGGATGCTTACTTTCATATAAGCATCTAACCTGCGCACAGGAAATATTTTAGATTTTTTTTTAATCCTTTGGGTTTTCCTTTCAGAACGAAGTGTACAAATTTGTTACTCTCCCGTTCGGGCTCAGCCTAGCTCCGTGCGTGTTCAGCCGGTGCATAGAGGCAGCATTATCTCCGCTGAGACACAAGGGTCTCAGAATATCGGCTTATTTGGACGACTGTCTGATATGTGCTCATTCGCGGGAGCGCGGGGAGCGGGACACAGAGATGCTCACGTCTCATCTCACGAATCTGGGGTTCAGGATCAATTATGCCAAAAGCCAGCTGATTCCGTCCCAGGAGATAGAGTATTTAGGCTTGCAAATAGACTCGGTGGCATACCGCGCTATGCTCTTGGGTAACGGCGTTTTATCAGTGCCTAGCCCAGTTTCGTGTGGATAACCTGGTCTCGTTCAGGAACTGTCTCCGCCTTATGGGCATGATGGCTTCGGCACTGTCCGTGGTCCCACTGGGCTTGCTAAAAATGAGGGACTTACAGCGTTGGGTAGCGGCACGGCATCTTTGTCCTCGTCGGCACCTCTCACGCAGAGTGAGAATTACCACGGAGTGCGTGATGGCTCTTCATCAGTGGAAAAACCCCTGTGTATTCCGGACAGGGGGTTCTGCTGGGGGGCGTGTCTCTGAGAAAAGTAGTGACAACGGACGCATCCCTGATGGGATGGGGAGCTGTCTTTCAGGGCAGCTCGGTAAACGGTTGTTGGACGCCTCAGCTTTGCAGACTTCACATAAACATGCTGGAGTTAATGGCAGTCTTTCTAGCCCTGAAGCATTTTCGCCCATTCTTGGAAGGTTTTCATGTTCTAGTCAGGACAGACAACACAACGGTGGTGGCATATATCAATCGACAAGGGGGAACGCGTTCGTTGCAACTGCACAATCTAGCGCGCATGCTGACTGTCTGGAGCACCGTGCATTTCAGAAGTCAGTGATTCAGCTAATAACTGCTCAGCTTTGGAGTTGCGTGCTTTTTACCCTCCATTTTCTTCTTCAGAGGAGAGGAAATTGCTCACTTTGTGTCCTGTACTAGTGTTACGCTATTATGTAAACGAGACACGATCCTTCAGAAAAGATAATCAGTTATTCGTTTCATGGGCCATTCATTGTAAGGGGTAAGCCGATCTCCTCACAGCACCTCTCCCACTGGATGGTGGAGGCTATTGAAATAGCCTATACATCTATGGGTCTTCATTCCCCAGAAGGCCTTAGGGCCCATTCTACACGAGGTATTGCTACCTCATGGGCGTTGTTCAAGAAGATTTCGGTGGGAGATATTTGTGTGGTGGCAAGTTGGACTTCCCCGCATATATTTATCAGATTTTACCGTCTTGATGTCACTGCGCCTTCATTGGCTCATACTGTTCTTAAAGTTGGCTCTTTGGAGAATTGAAAGGTTGTCTTTCTTCCTTTTTGAGTCTGTTCGGCGGCTTCGGAAAGCATGGGTTACGGGAGTTGGCTATATCATTCCTATAGTGAGATACCAAGTGATTGTTTGAAAGAGAACGTTAGGTTACTTGCGTAACCCCGGTTCTCTGAGAACAGAGCGAGGTATCTCACCAAGCTTCCCTACTCGCATAACACGGGGGAAGAGCGAGCTTAGAATGCCGTTTCGGGGATCACAGCTGTATATATAGGGAGGGGGTGGGCTCCTTTTCATGAGCTGTGATTGGTCTGTCCTTTGGACAGACGTGGTGTAATTGGTGCTTCCATAGGCTATCATGCCTGGGGGCGTTCCCATAGTGAGATACCTTGCTCTGTTCTCAGAGAACCGGGGTTACACAAGTAACCTAACGTTTTCTGTGAACCATTCCTTTAATACAAAGTGACATTATAGTGCTTTTAAATTGTATTTATTCCAGCCTAATGGTTTATAGATGTGTTAAAATATTAATAATACCAAATTAAGTATTTAAAAAAAATACTAGTAAAGTTTATATATGACTTTTTTGTCTTTTAGCTAAAAGCCAAGACTGAAATGCTGTTGTCTGCTGAAGCAGCAAAAAATGCCCAGAGAGCAGACTTGGAGAACCACCTAGAGACTGCCCAGAATGCATTGCAAGATAAGCAGCAAGTATGTACTATTGCTTTGACACCATTTGAACCTAGTGTATTTATATCAGTCCAATATAAGAATGTCATTTTGTTGTAAGTTCAAAGTTGTTGTTTTTTGTGTGTGTGTTTCGGCAGGAGTTGAGTAAAGTGCAGGCTCAGCTGGAAGAGCAGGGCCGCAGGCTGCAAGAGAAGCAGGAGCAATGCTCTCAGCTGGAGACCAGTCTGAAGGACAGCAGAGACAAACTGCTGACTGCAGAGCAGAGGATAGAGACACTGGAGACCCAGACCAAGGTCAGCGTCACTGCAGCACATTTCTGCTTCGTCATCGTGACTTCATTTTGAAAATGTTACAGGCCTGTTGTGATTGTTACAGATATCAAATGACTGTATTGATAAGAAAGTGGTCTTGAATTATTTCTTTGCTGTTTTTTTATTGACTATTTACCTAATTATAATTACATGGAAATAAGTGTTTATTTGATTGAGAAATACTTGAAAGCTACATGCCATTGTCTTAATTTAATCTTTCAATATGTATTGTATTATGCATTGAAATTTCTGTGATCAAATGTTTTTTCTGTGTGTGTTTTTGTCTTATATAGAAAGTAGAGGTAGAGTTAACTGAACTCTGCTCTGGAAGGGAACAGGCTCAGAAGGAGCAGCAGATGCTGAAGAAGCAAATCAGTGAGCTGGAGATGAAGACAAAGGAGCTGAACCGTCTTTTAGACTCTGAGAAACAAGAGTAGGTACCTCATATGGAAAAATGTACAATGTTAAAGAAAGAAATGTTTTAACGAGCAGTTTTCTTTCCAATCTTGGCTTATTTCCTTAATCTGATTGAAGTATTTAAGTAAAATACATCTTAGTTTATTAATTTCTCTGAAAAAAAGATTGTACAAATGATATGTGTAAATGCTTAATTTTAAAAGTATACTAATATAACAGTTTGAGGTCAGTATTTTATTTTTTAAATAAATTAATACTTTTTATACAGGATGCATTACACTGATCAAAAGTGACAGTAAAGACACATAATACAAAAAAATCTGTTTCAACTAAAAGCTTTTCTTTTGATTCATCAAAGGATCCTGAAAAATTAAATAATGTTTTTCACAAAGATATTAAGCAGCACAACTGTTTTCAACACTGATAATAAAAATAAATGTTTCCTGATATTAAAATATATTAAAATGAAAAAACATGATTTAAAATTGTAGTAACATTTCCCAAAATTATTTTTGCTGTATGTTTGATCAAATAAATTTAGCCTTGGTGAGCTTGGTGACTTTCAAAAACATAAAAAATGTAACCAACCCCACACTTCAAATCTAATTAGTATAGATCACAGGTGTGACTTGTCGATCTTTCCTTTCCTTTCTGTCTCAGAGCTGCCACCCAGCAAGAGGAGTTGAAGAAGAAAACGTCAGCCCTCTCCCAAACAAAACAACAGCTGGAGAAGGCAGAGCAGAAGCGTGCAACCCTGCAGGCCAGCCTGGATAAACTGTCTCAGGAGGGTCAGAAGCAGCAAGCAGAGCTGGACAAGAAAGTTCAGGGTCTGAGTGCAGATCTTAAGAAAACTCTGGAGGAGAAGGAAGCTCTGACTAAAGAAATGGCAATGGTGAAAGAGGCTCTGAGCAAAGCTTCTAAAGCTCTAAAAGAGAGCCAGACTCAATTGGAGGCAGAGAAGAAGAGCAGCAATGCCACTTTGGAGGAGAAGGTGAGAAGTTTGGCCCCAAAAATTATTTGGATACTTGTGTATGTATAAAAAAATTAAATTCATAGTACGACAAAAATGATCAAATCATTTGCTGTTATTTAAAAGTAGTTCAGTACAAGCACACTTTTTTTCATGCAAACCTTTTCACAGAAATTTAAATATCAAGCTTTCTCTAATTTGTAGGAAAAGTTTTATCAGAAAGCACAGCAAGAGCTTCAGAAAAACACAGAGACCGCTTCTAAAGAGCTCAGCCGTGTCAAAGGTCAGCTGGAGAAATCAATAGAGGTAAGATTGTGCATTATAACTCCATTTATATTTCAAGAAAGCATTGATTATGACTTTTATGTACCCTCATATTAGAGGAATCTTGATATTTTGCAATTATGTTGAATCTTTTAGGCAGAAAAGGGGCTTCAATCTCAGCTGACTGCACTGAACACTCAACTGAAACAGTATCAAGATACGCTGAAAGAGAAAGAAAATCGTGTACAGCAGCTACAGGCAGAGCTGAAGACTACTCAGGGGTCCTTAAGCCTGGAAGTGAAGAAATTTAAGGCGCAAGTGTCCGAGCTGCAGACTTCCTTCACTAAAAAGGCATGTAGAGTTTCCTTACACACCTATGTGTCATAAAAGGCACTTAAATGTACTCCTAGCATACCTAAATTGACTGATTTATTTTCTGTACTTAAAGGGATAGTCCACCCAAAAATTAACATTCTGTCATTATTTACTCTCCCTCATGTTGTTTCAAACCTGTATGATTTTCTTTGTTCTGTGAAACATAGCAGAAGATATTTTAAAGAATGTTGGTAACCAAATGGTTTTGATTTCCATTGGGTTCCATTGTATTTTATACTGTGGAACATAAAAGAAGATATTTTGAAGAATAGTTGATAACCAAACAGTCTTGGTTCCCACTTGTTTTTCAGTGAGAAGTCAATGAGAACCAACATTCTCTTTAAAATATATTCTTATGTGTGTTCTTAATATAAATATATGTGTTCTACAGAAGAAAGTCATACATTTGGTAGGAGGTTAATGATGAGTCCCTGCCATGTTGTTGGACATTATGACTGAACTTTGTGTGAATCAATTGAATTGTGTTTCAGACTGAAGAGGAGGCAAAGCTGAAGGAGCAGGTGACGACATTGTCTAAAGATCTCAACTCAGAGAAGAATCACTGTGCAGAACTGCAGAAGACCAGTGACAGCGCCAAAGAAAGTCTCGCCACCCTTCAGTCTGATTACTACGGCAAGGAGTCTGAGCTCTCTGCTGTACGCCAGGACCTCAAGGTCTGTTTTATAAAGTATGAGCACATCTTAATAAATGATTCCGTGCAGTATCTGATTATTATCTTATTATGTGTCATTTAGGTGTGTGAGGAGAAGCTGCTTCTAGCTCAGGAGGAGCTGGTGGCCAACAGAAACCAGCTGAGTGCTCACGAAACCCAGATCCAGGAGCTAAAGACGGCCCGCACGGAGCTGGAGAAAGACCTCAGCAAGAGAGACGAGAAGATCAAAAAGCAGGTGGAGGCTCTACAGAAGCTCCAGAAACAACAGGTAACAAAATATGCTGCAAATTTTTGAGATATCATCGTTGTGCCCTCAAGCAAGTCTTTGAACCACAGATTTTCCTGTGGTGTGAAGGTTACGGAAACAAATGCCACTTGTCTCGATTGTGTGGCGATAAATAAAGACTCTGTTCCAAACACAGTGAGACTACAATACAACCTTCTGTTGTGAGCAGGAATTGTTATAACTTTTAATTTGCTTGCCATCACAGACATGGAGAATGGAGTTGTTCAGCTGACTGTGTCTTTTGTTTCAGAAACAAACTGAGGAGCAGCTGAAGAAGGAGAAGGCTCAATGCGAGGAGCTCAAAGAGTGCCAGAGCGCTCTGGAGAAGGACAAAAACAAACTGTCTGCTGATCTTAAAGCTCTGGCCGAGAAGAATGAGAAGGTCAGACTGATCACCTCTGACCCCAAATCACTTTTATGAATCATAGCAGCCTTAAAATCTGCTACTTAAAGGTGCACTATATGTTGTTTCACTGTAAAATATCTACCATTATTAATTAATTGCTATTTTTCCCACAAAATGCTAGTACTTTGAATGAATCCTATTAGTGTCCTAAAAACAGCTGCTTTATTCTAAGCAGAGTCACCCCTTGATAGGGACCCCCATGATGAGACTTATTATTAATACTTTTTAATGTCCAGCCAAAGTACTTAGTTTATTTTACTAAGCTATTTTTATACATTTCCAGTTACTCAAAGTAGTTATGACAGACTAATATTTTTGTAATGGCATCTTGTAACTGAAACATTTTGAATGAGACTCTACACTACTGTTCAAAAGTTTGGGGTTCAAGGCTCCATTTATTTGATTAAAAGTAAAGGAAAATCTGTAAAATTGTGAAATAGTATTACAATTGACATTTTTTCATTAAGGTTTTTTTTTTTTTAATATATATATTTTAAAATCTAATTTATTCCTCTGGCAAAGCTACTTTTCAGCAGCCATTACTCCAGTCAGTCAGTGTCACATGATCCTTCAGAAATCAATCTGAAATGCAGATTTGGTTCTCAAGAAACATTTCATATTCTCAGTGTTAAAAACGTGCTGCTTAATATTATTGTGGAAACTCTGATACTGAACAAAAAACATGTTGTACCTTTAACTGGCATGTCATTGTTTTTCATTCTCCACTGCCTTCATTAGTGGTCGACCGATATATCGCCAAGGCCAATATATCGGCCGATATTTGGCATTTTTCAAATATCGGCATAAGTTAAGATAAGTTAATAAGATAAGATACGTTTTTCTGTTTGGCCGATGCGTTCGAGGCGGTACTTTTATTTTGACGGCGGCAGCGCCTGAGTGCACACAGTGCTCACATTCTCCTTGTTTGCTGTCATCGTTCAGTTCTGTCTAATACGGATAGAAGTCTGTCTAATAATCTGATAGAATTGTTAAACAAAGGAATTAAAAAGTATACAAAAAGTATTATAACGATTGCTTTTATATTATTAGTAATAGAAAGGCAAACATTATAATACTAGCAGCTACAGGCAGAGCTGAAGACTACTCAGGGGTCCTTAAGCCTGGAAGTGAAGAAATTTAAGGCGCAAGTGTCCGAGCTGCAGACTTCCTTCACTAAAAAGGCATGTAGAGTTTCCTTACACACCTATGTGTCATAAAAGGCACTTAAATGTACTCCTAGCATACCTAAATTGACTGATTTATTTTCTGTACTTAAAGGGATAGTCCACCCAAAAATTAACATTCTGTCATTATTTACTCTCCCTCATGTTGTTTCAAACCTGTATGATTTTCTTTGTTCTGTGAAACATAGCAGAAGATATTTTAAAGAATGTTGGTAACCAAATGGTTTTGATTTCCATTGGGTTCCATTGTATTTTATACTGTGGAACATAAAAGAAGATATTTTGAAGAATAGTTGATAACCAAACAGTCTTGGTTCCCACTTGTTTTTCAGTGAGAAGTCAATGAGAACCAACATTCTCTTTAAAATATATTCTTATGTGTGTTCTTAATATAAATATATGTGTTCTACAGAAGAAAGTCATACATTTGGTAGGAGGTTAATGATGAGTCCCTGCCATGTTGTTGGACATTATGACTGAACTTTGTGTGAATCAATTGAATTGTGTTTCAGACTGAAGAGGAGGCAAAGCTGAAGGAGCAGGTGACGACATTGTCTAAAGATCTCAACTCAGAGAAGAATCACTGTGCAGAACTGCAGAAGACCAGTGACAGCGCCAAAGAAAGTCTCGCCACCCTTCAGTCTGATTACTACGGCAAGGAGTCTGAGCTCTCTGCTGTACGCCAGGACCTCAAGGTCTGTTTTATAAAGTATGAGCACATCTTAATAAATGATTCCGTGCAGTATCTGATTATTATCTTATTATGTGTCATTTAGGTGTGTGAGGAGAAGCTGCTTCTAGCTCAGGAGGAGCTGGTGGCCAACAGAAACCAGCTGAGTGCTCACGAAACCCAGATCCAGGAGCTAAAGACGGCCCGCACGGAGCTGGAGAAAGACCTCAGCAAGAGAGACGAGAAGATCAAAAAGCAGGTGGAGGCTCTACAGAAGCTCCAGAAACAACAGGTAACAAAATATGCTGCAAATTTTTGAGATATCATCGTTGTGCCCTCAAGCAAGTCTTTGAACCACAGATTTTCCTGTGGTGTGAAGGTTACGGAAACAAATGCCACTTGTCTCGATTGTGTGGCGATAAATAAAGACTCTGTTCCAAACACAGTGAGACTACAATACAACCTTCTGTTGTGAGCAGGAATTGTTATAACTTTTAATTTGCTTGCCATCACAGACATGGAGAATGGAGTTGTTCAGCTGACTGTGTCTTTTGTTTCAGAAACAAACTGAGGAGCAGCTGAAGAAGGAGAAGGCTCAATGCGAGGAGCTCAAAGAGTGCCAGAGCGCTCTGGAGAAGGACAAAAACAAACTGTCTGCTGATCTTAAAGCTCTGGCCGAGAAGAATGAGAAGGTCAGACTGATCACCTCTGACCCCAAATCACTTTTATGAATCATAGCAGCCTTAAAATCTGCTACTTAAAGGTGCACTATATGTTGTTTCACTGTAAAATATCTACCATTATTAATTAATTGCTATTTTTCCCACAAAATGCTAGTACTTTGAATGAATCCTATTAGTGTCCTAAAAACAGCTGCTTTATTCTAAGCAGAGTCACCCCTTGATAGGGACCCCCATGATGAGACTTATTATTAATACTTTTTAATGTCCAGCCAAAGTACTTAGTTTATTTTACTAAGCTATTTTTATACATTTCCAGTTACTCAAAGTAGTTATGACAGACTAATATTTTTGTAATGGCATCTTGTAACTGAAACATTTTGAATGAGACTCTACACTACTGTTCAAAAGTTTGGGGTTCAAGGCTCCATTTATTTGATTAAAAGTAAAGGAAAATCTGTAAAATTGTGAAATAGTATTACAATTGACATTTTTTCATTAAGGTTTTTTTTTTTTTAATATATATATTTTAAAATCTAATTTATTCCTCTGGCAAAGCTACTTTTCAGCAGCCATTACTCCAGTCAGTCAGTGTCACATGATCCTTCAGAAATCAATCTGAAATGCAGATTTGGTTCTCAAGAAACATTTCATATTCTCAGTGTTAAAAACGTGCTGCTTAATATTATTGTGGAAACTCTGATACTGAACAAAAAACATGTTGTACCTTTAACTGGCATGTCATTGTTTTTCATTCTCCACTGCCTTCATTAGTGGTCGACCGATATATCGCCAAGGCCAATATATCGGCCGATATTTGGCATTTTTCAAATATCGGCATAAGTTAAGATAAGTTAATAAGATAAGATACGTTTTTCTGTTTGGCCGATGCGTTCGAGGCGGTACTTTTATTTTGACGGCGGCAGCGCCTGAGCGCACACAGTGCTCACATTCTCCTTGTTTGCTGTCATCGTTCAGTTCTGTCTAATACGGATAGAAGTCTGTCTAATAATCTGATAGAATTGTTAAACAAAGGAATTAAAAAGTATACAAAAAGTATTATAACGATTGCTTTTATATTATTAGTAATAGAAAGGCAAACATTATAATACTTTCTCGTTTGCCGTCAGCATTCAGCAAATACTCATTTACATAATTTAAACAAATCTTTGAATGGCTAATGAACATTTAATTTCACAAACCTTGCAAACTTAGTCAAATCCAGTTGTGAGATCTTGTGAAGTGTGCATGTGACCTGCATGATCGCGTGTTCTCTGTGCGTGTTCACCACCCGGCTTTCCAAGATATCAGCATCGGCTGTCAAAAAAACATTATCGGTCGACCACTAGCCTTAAGTATTTTGATGACTTTTGGATTCCTATGAATTGTGTAGCATAGTTTGATGATCTGGGCTTGTATCCATAGTGTTACATGTTAACATCCAACTATGTTTATAACTGACAGAATTGTCTATGTGTCTCTTGCAGGAGCTGAAGGAGCTCCAGGCAGCGAAGCAGCTGTTGATCCAGCAGAAGGTGGAGCTGCAAGGGAAGGTGGAGGCAGCTCAAGCATCTCTGGAGCAGGAACAGAGAGAGCATCAGAAGACCAGAGACTCCATCAAACAAAAACAGCAGCAGCTCAAATCTGAGACGGACAAACTACAACAGCAACTGGTACTTATAATACCAACTTCATTGATTTAATTATTAATTATTACTGTAATAATATTATTATTAATCGTTAGCAAGTAACCTCTATTGCTGACTTATATGCTGCAGCAAAAATGCTTTCTAAATTTTCCACAGAAAAGCTATATTATCTTCTTTCTCAGGCATCAGAAGTGAAGGCTAAAGAGGAGGTGGAGAAGCAGAGGGAAGAGGCGGAGGTGAAGATATCTATGCAGGTGGCGGCACTGAACGAGAATATGGCGACGCTGAAGAGAGAGTGGCAGAGCAGCCAGAGACGGGTGGGTGAGCTGGAGAAACAGACGGATGAGCTGAGAGGGGAGATCGCCGTGTTGGAGGCCACCATCCAGAACAACCAGGATGAGAGGCGTGCACTGCTGGAGAGGTTTGACTGTTTCTCTAGATACTTTTTCGGCATAAAAACACAGAGAAAAAGGGATGATCACTTTCAATTTGATCCTTTTCCAGGTGTGTCCAGGGTGAGGGGGAGATCGAGAAGCTTCAGGCTAAGTTAGTGGAGATGCGCAGGAAGTTGGATGACACTACAGCCGCCATGCAGGAGCTTGGCCGTGAGAACCAGTCCTTACAGGTCAGACTGACGCCAACCCTAGACTGAAATAACTGACCTTACAATTCAGTTTTGGTGTTGTTTTGCGTCTCTAGCTAAGGAAACTTCATTTTTTTTGTCAAATGTGGCTCCTTTTTCCTGTTCCAGATAAAGCAGTCACAGTCCCTCACGCGAAAGTGGGCGGAAGATCACGAGGTGCAGAACTGTATGGCTTGTGGGAAAGGCTTCTCTGTCACTGTCAGAAAGGTCTGCATCATGCATACACACACGCTCACATTCTTATTTGATGATGCAGCCACTCGAATGGATCAAAGTATGAGATCAATACAGTGTTAATGATCTAAAATATTGATCCGTGCTCCTGCATTCAAAGGACTGTGATCACATGACATGGTGCATCAAAGCAAGTTCCACCAACAAAAGCGTCTGTTTGATGTTCTCAGGAAGTCATTGCCAATTAATCATTCTTACATCCACATCTTTGCATATTATCTTCCCTCAAATCTTAAACATGCACACACTACACGATTTGAAAATCCTGGCGCATCACACACTACAAGATATTATTAAGATTATCATACCAGAGGGAGCGCCTCACGTGATGTCACGCAGCAGATCGTCACTGATATTTCAATGATGTTTACATATGTTACACATTATACAGACAGTCGTGTTACTACAAAATGTCAAGAAGCAATTTCTTCCGTCTCCGCTATCCAACGGAGCCATACAGCAGCTGTTTTGCGGTCGCGCATTAGCTATTGTGAAAGTACTGACGTAATCATATAGCCGTCATCATCCCGATTTAGATCCTAAATATCAAACATGTTTGATATGTTGTTTTCTTTTATCAATTTGTACATGTTGGATGTGTACGTGCCCTGCTTTTAAGCAATAACTGTGCATTGGGTGTGATTGTTTGTGTGATAGTATATTGAAAATGAATGACAGACCGCTGATTGTGTTTAAAATATCAGCTGCTACATTTCTCTTCAACTTGAGCGGTTTCTCTCATTCATGGCATCTACGCAATTGAGCGAATGCAATGCCGCGAGCCAACACTTTAGACTAAAAGGGGTAGTTCACCTAAAAAAATGATTCACCCTCGTCATTCCAAACCTGTATGACAGACTTTCTTCTGCAGAATATAAAAGTAGATATTTTGAATAATGTTGAGAACCAAACCGTGACTTCCATTGAATTTTGTCCACACAATGAAAGTCAATGGGAACTAAAACTATTTACCAACATTCTTCAGAGTATCTTATTATATGTCTTGTTTGTGTGTTTAGTTACCAACATTCTGTTTTGTGGATTACAAAAGAACATATTTTGAAGAGTGTTGAGAACCAAACAGTAACTTGTATTTTTGTCCATACAATGAAAGTCAATGGGAACTTAAACTCTTTAGTTAACATTTCTCAAAATAGTCTTTTTTTTTCTTTGTTTGTGTTGCAGAACACAAAAGAAGATATTTTGAAGAATGTTAGTAACCAAACAAAAATCAATAGGAACCGAAGCACTTTATTTACCGTCATTATATCAAAATACCATCTTATGTCTTGTTACTGTTTTAGTTACCAACTTAAAAATATCTAGTCTTGTTTTCCTTGTTTTTTCTTAACAGAACACAAAAAATATTTTGAAGAATGTTGATAAACAAACAAACAAGCAAACAAACAAAAATGTCCAAACAGTGGAAGTCAAATGGAACCCAAACAATTTATTTACCGACATTTATCAAAATATTTTATATGCTTTGTGTGTTTTGTGGATTACAAAAGAAGATATTTTGAAGAATGTTGAAGACCAAACAGTTTCAGTTCCAAATTGATTTCCATTTTATTTTTGTCCAAACGGTGAATGTCAATGGGGTCCAAATGAGATTGTTTTGGACCCCATTGACTTCCATTGTATAGACCAAAAAAAAACTTACGTTTTTCAAAATATCTCCCCATCATGGAGGTTTGAAATGACAGAATTAAAATTTTTTGGTGAACTAGTCCCTTATTAGAAGCTAAAAGTGTGGTGAGCGTCATTGTAAGCGCTTAGTGTAGAACTAAATGTGAGCGAGTGCACTGCAACTAACTGCTGTAAAGTATGCTTCACTGTATGTGGTTTATGCAGTAGCCACGTTCTGATGTTTTCGCTCTGCTTAATAGATTGTACGCGGCTTGCAGCGTCGATGGCACTGTTTGCTGTCAGTGTGATTCTGAGGTATTGATTCCTTCCTGTTTGTGTCAGTAGATGGATTCAGGAGCATAATGCATAGTGATTCATATGTATCCCAGGATGAATCAAAAGTGTCTCAGGATGTTTTGTGCTCATCACCAGCTCAGTCATGTGACGTGATTTCAGAAAATGTAATAGTATATGAATAGCAGCCCTTTAACTTGATTTTGGATGAAATGTGTGCTGCAGTCAACAACAGTATGATAGAAGCCACTCAGTGCCATATAACTGGTCAAAACCTTCCATCGGACATCACAATGCTGTAATTATTAGCAATTGTTTGAAGAAAAATAGGTCGTGCAGCTTGCAAATAAAGCTAATTTGTGACCGCATATGCAAAGTGCATCACTTGTAGGTTTTTGGATCAGCACTACTCACTGACAGTATCTGTTATATGGTTGTCATGCATTATTATTATTGATTGATTCATATTTTTTGATGTGCTGAACAGCAGGGTGTTCACATTCATGTTGTGGTAATGTGTTTGTGTGCCTTATATCAAGGTTTGTTTCTGTCACATTGGTGCATTTTTGAATGCAGACATGTCTTAACAGGCAAGACCCATCAGATACATGTTAATTTGTTTAGCAGGATTCTACATATTTGTGATGTGAAAGCAGTATCGGAAATGGATGAAAAAATCAATCAGAATATACTAAATGAGTTAAAAAATAAAAAGTGTAAAATATCACATACTGAAGGTGATTTCAGGTTAATTGGTTTGTTTGCCTGACGGTCCTGATTCAAATGAAGAACAGATGAACTTCTTCACCACCCAAGATTTTTTTGTTGAGGAAAAAAAATTGTTCAATGGTATTATGTTTTCAAATTTTTCATCATGTTTAAAAGTAAATAATAAACTGTTTCTATTTTCTTTCAGTGTCCCGCAGTGTTATTTAGTATTATTTATATACTACTGTAATATTAAGGTTTTGAATTAGTTTTTATTTTGAATATTATCAGGATTCATTTTATTTGATGTTTTAGTCATTTTGTTGTGTGCTTGTCTTTTTATTTATTTTTTTTTAAACATGCATACTTTTTTTAAAATCTATTATTTATATTTTATTTCAGCTTCATTTCAAATGACCAAAAACTCTTATTGGTTTTACTGATGTCCTGTTTGTACTTTTAAATCAAATACTTTAATCATTATGTATAAAAACTTGATATTTTATTTTTTCATGGTCAAACAAGTAAATTATTTACAAAACAACGTAATGCATAACATTGTTTTAAAGAAATTTTTAATTTATACAAATTAGAATTTTGCTAACTTTCACACTGTATTACAACACATACAGTAGGTTCTTTACTGTATCTTAGCATTTAACTTTCCCACAACACACAATGTCACTTTCTGTGACACAAATTCATAATTATTTATTTGCGTTAGGAACATGCAACATTCAGTTTTCCAAAAATGCCGATCGGTGTATGATAGGGTGACCATACGTGCCATTTTCCCAGGAAGCGTCCTGGCCAGGATTTCTATATTGCCTAAAATATCTAGGTTTTGGCTTTGTTTGTGTGTGCAGACCGATCGGTGTTTGACATCAAAATACCATACAGACAGTTCTTTATGCTTTCAAAATGCTCTCGAGGTATTTAGATGTCATACACCGATCACACGTCTGCACACGCAAACAAATCCAAAACCTAGATATTTTAGGCAATATAGAAATCCTGGCCAGGACGCGTCCTGGGAAAATGGCACGTATGGTCACCCTAGCATAGAGGAGAAACAATAATGTACAGTATGTGGAAAATAATGTGTTTTTTTAACTTTAAACCGCATAAACATTTCATTACACCAAATACTGTTATTTTTAGCAACATCATATGACCCCTTTAAACGGTGTTACTACTGTTACAGTGGTGATGTATTTCCATTTTTAGCAAAAAAAAAAGAAGTTTCAAACACTCATGGTTTTCTTTCTAGGACATAAAAAGAGACGTTTTGCACAATTTGAGTCATACAGAAGACAAGAATACTTTCATGGTGATTTCTGTCCTTTTAAGAGCTTGACAGCTTCAGTCCTACTTTACTGTATGGAAACGAACAGACATTCTTAAGTAAAAGCCTGTCATATTTGGAATAAGATGAAGGGGAGTAAACGATGACAGAATTTTCATTTTTGGGTTAACTTTGTTGGTTCATTGGCACTCTTGGGGAAGTTCTCTTGAAAGTCTCTGTGTAAATTAGATCTGTGAAGACTCCAGAAAAGAGTTCTTAACCCGCGGCTGCTGACAGTCCTGCTTCAGCAGAGAATTGGTGGCATCCTCAATCTCCGACACCCACGCTTTCTGAAACATACACAACATACAGCCTGACAAGACCATTTTTGTGATTTGAGCTAAAAGCTACGTTTATACACTGAACAAAATTATAAACGCAACACTTTTGTTTTTGCCCCCATTTTTCATGAGCTGAACTCAAAGATCTAAGACTTTTTCTATGTACACAAAAGACCTATTTCTCTCAAATATTGTTCACAAATCTGTCTAAATCTGTGTTAGTGAGCACTTCTCCTTTGCCGAGATAATCCATCCACCTCACAGGTGTGGCATATCAAGATGCTGATTAGACAGCATGATTATTGCACAGGTGTGCCTTAGGCTGGCCACAATAAAAGGCCACTCTAAAATGTGCAGTTTTACTGTATTGGGGGTCCGGGGGGTCCGAAAACCAGTCAGTATCTGGTGTGACCACCATTTGCCTCACGCAGTGCAACACATCTCCTTCGCATAGAGCTGATCAGGTTGTTGATTGTGGCCTGTGGAATGTTGGTCCACTCCTCTTCAATGGCTGTGCGAAGTTGCTGGATATTGGCAGGAACTGGAACACGCTGTCGTATGTGCCGATCCAGAGCATCCCAAACATGCTCAATGGGTGACATGTCCGGTGAGTATGCTGGCCATGCAAGAACTGGGATGTTTTCAGCTTCCAGGAATTGTGTACAAATCCTTGCAACATGGGGCCGTGCATTATCATGCTGCAACATGAGGTGATGGTCGAGGATGAATGGCACAACAATGGGCCTCAGTCACGGTATCTCTGTGCATTCAAAATACCATCAATAAAATGCACGCGTTCATTGTCCATAACATATGCCTGCCCATACCATAACCCCACCGCCACCATGGGCCACT